CCAGGCAGCTACAGAGAAGACCAGGCACCTAGTGGGGCAAGAGCCATCGAAGGAAACCCTCAAGACACAAAACCAAAGGGGCATCACCAAGGGCCCTGCCACATGTCCCTGCCAATGGTCTCTGAGAACTCAGAGGTCCCCTCATTGTGCAATCAGGCTGCCTCAAAGCCATGTGACAAAGGTCCTATTTTCCACTTTTCTTGATCTCACATGAAGAGAACAGGCTCACAATACTGGTTGGCATGGGGAGGAAAATTGCACTTGGATTTTTCCTTTTTTAAATATAGAAAGCATCGAGCATTTCTTGACTTTCTGTCATAGAAGATTTTTCCATCCTGACTCTACCCTAGCCAGATTGAATATGCACCAGGGGGCATCTAGCAGGGTATATTGCTTCATCTAAGTTAGGGTGAAGTTTGGAAAAAGAGCAGGATTTAAGGAGATGAAGGCAGGAGAAAGGGCCTGTGCCAGGCAGAGGTGATGGTGGAGCGGAGGGCCTGGGGGATAGAGAGTGTGTGAGGTCACAGGGCGACCTGTCCAGTCTGGCTGGAGAACAGGGAATGTGATGGACAGAGCATGAAACGGGGCTGCAAAGGTGGGCGTGAGCCATTTTCAGGGGTCTTGGATGTTCACTAAGGATTTAGGATTTTACTGGCTAAGAACTGGGCACAATACAAAGTTCTGGGGCAGGAGCGCTAACATGACAGAGGTGTACTCTGGAAATATCCGACACAATCTGACATGGTGCAAAAAATGGACATTTAAAAACAAGCAAAGAAGCAAACAAACCATAAAGGGGGTTAATGGAGATCAGTTGAGAGGACACAGCACTATTCTGGGGTATGGGCTACACCAACCTAAACACTGTGATTCTGGAGAAAGTGAAATTCATAGCATCTGGGAACTGGATAGACCAAGTCCTCAGGTTGAAAGCCTTTTCAAGACTGGTGACCTTGCCTGGCCGGTGTGGCTCAGTGGTTGAGTATTGACCTATTATCCAGGAGACTGTGGTTCGATTGGTCAGGACACATGCCCAGGAACATGCCCACGTTGTGGCTCTATCCCCAGCAAGGTGCATGCAGGAGACAGCTGATCAATGACTCTCACCACTGATGTTTCTATCTCTCCCTCTCCCTTCCTCTCTCTGAAATCAATAAAAACATATTAAAAAAAAAAGACAAAAAAAAAAAGACTGGTGACCTTCATGCAAATAGGAAAGTCAATATAACTAAAGGGTTTTCCCCTCTTGGGGATGAGCTCGGAAGAGATAATTATCTCAGGTTTGACATTTCATTTCCCTAATAAGACCTGAATCTGTTCTATGCACCTGCTTTAATAGACTAAGTGGATGACTGTTGAAAGAAATCCAATAAGCACCTGGCTTTCCTTAGAACTTGCTTAACTAGTTCATGATAACTTGAACCTGTTGGTCACTTATTTTATGAAGCTGGCCTTGGCAATCTGCTCAGCTGTCCTCTGAATGACCTCGCAGATCTGCTGACCATTTTTCACATCTGCCCTGACCAATAAGGGAAGGAAATTCCCATCTGGAGATGAGCTTCTGGCCTGGATTTTACTTCTGGAAGGGCCACAGTAAGTAAAGCATGACTCTAGAGCTAAAACTTTTTATGCTTCAATATTTAAAGTGAAAGAAAGCCTATAGGTAAATATCAGTGATAAATTTCCTCGTCAATAACCTGAATTCTCTGAAATCTAGATCTAGAAATCAAGACGCCCATGTCCCACTTCATCCTCAACGGTGGCATATTCTACATAAATTCTGTCTCACACGTTTGGAGTGAATAGGTCTCCTAAATAAACCAAAATATCACAGAGACCAAACTGCTTCATAAAAACAGAAGTTACCATTTGTAAAAACACACTGCTTATCAATGCTTGTCCAAGCGTCCTTGGAAGCTACAAAATTAAATTAACACCTTTATGAAAAGGATTGAATGTGTCACACACATACTTCGGAGCCGACCCCAAATACACCATGCTTCACAGGCTCTGTCAACGCTTCGACAGCACGTGGTAGTAATGTTTTTCAACATTTAAAACACCGAGCTTTTAAAAAGTGAATGAGGCCACTTTTATTTAGTGAAAAAGAGATGAGTGATTTAGGAAGCCGAATCTAACTGTCCAGGTTGCAATATAATCTGGTGAGTTCTCTTTGCCTCTCTCCATGGGTGTGGCAACCAATCTCCAAAGACGGCCCCCAACAACTCTTCCCCCTCCCTGTGGCACCGATGCGGGAGACGGGGAGCCTTTGTTCTCCCTTGACCCTGTATGCATCTTGTGACTTGTGCCAAAAGTGACATTCTTGGATTTTTGAACCCAGGTCTTAAGAGGTTGACAGCTTCCACTTTATCTCTTGGAGGCACACCCACGTGAAATTTGGACTCCCCAGCTGGGAAGGGAGGCCTAGGGGACAGGGAGGCCTGAAGCACTGTTGGCCAGTTGAGCCCAGATGAGCCCAGCTGAGCTCCCAGCTGGATGCAGTTGCATGACTGAGCCTAGTCAAAAACAGCAGATGAACCCCAGGCACCCCATAGATTCATGAGAAATAATAAATCGGGGCTGCTTCAAGCCACTAAGTTTGGGGCCCTTTGTTACACATGGCAATAGATCACTGAAACAAGGGGTGGCAAAAGGTATCAAATGGTTAAAAGTGGGCTAGCTCTCCCACTCACCCATGACCATCTGCGACCATATCGGGCATTGCTCGCAAGCTAATTTCAGTGGAGAAACTCAGACAGGACCTGCTCTTGTCATATTCAAGCACCAGCATTCGGCAGTATCTAGACGCTGGCATTGACGTGCACACTGGGCTCTGACAATTCTCGCCCCAGGCCCTTGTAGGACTGGAAAAACTACGTCCCTTGACTGGTTTAGGAAGCTCCCTGCCTCCTTGTGTTCCTGCAAATGTTTATTAGAGAGAATACAACGTGACAAATGCAGGAGCGACTAAAACTTCGTAATGAGTATTAGGAGGGTAAAGAGAAGTTAGCAGAGGCCTCGGCTGCACTTCATGGCATGCGAATGGATGGCACGGAGCCACACAGACTGGGCAGGCTCAAGGCGGACTAAATTAGCAGCCCCAATTCTTGACCTTTCTCTACATCTACACCCTTGAAGTGAATGTGCTGTGGTTGGATGTACTTCTCTGTCTCTTGTCTTTCAAACTGTGACTTGAATGTTGGGATCAGTGCCGGTGTGCCAGCTCTAAGCCCAAGTTTAAGCGGCATCTTGTATCTGGCTTGCAAAAGGAGGGCATGCCCCCTTGGCTCCCTGGTCCCAGGAGGAAGCTGAAAGACCTGGGGCAGAGCCACTCCAGCTGACCCACCACCTTGAGATTGGGAAAGACTGCTTATTGTTGAAAGCCACTGAGATCCTGAGGCAACAGTTGCCTAACACAAAGCTCCTTCATTAAATGCAAACATTTGCAAAATACAAATGGCACTTTAGGACAATAGAAAGCCTTCTTGGCTATAAAAGTTGTAACTAAATTAGCAAATGGACATTTAGGTGCCAATGAGCCGTTTTCCCAGAAACTGTGGTTTCAATGATCTAGATTCTGGTTTTATTAAGATGTTATGTTCCTCTTCTCCACAGCTCTAAATCCTATTTAATCACCACTAGAAGCAAATTCGTTCCAGGCAACAAGTACTTCTTTTTAAAACAAAACAAAATCCTCTCCCTGTGTACACTCGTCCACCTCAAGCAGAGAATTGGCCGTTCCACGGCAATCCCAGCTCTTCACCCCGGAACAAACCAACCGTGACAGTGGGTCAAAAACTAGAGGCTCTAAATGCAGAATTGTGTGACAGGGGCAACTTCAGCTGACTGCATGCAAACATTATTTCAACAAGGTTCTTCAACGAACAAGAGCTGAAGAGGTGCTTTTATGAATACAAGTGGCGTATAAATGTCAAGTAGTGTGTATTATTGTTCAACAAAAACTGCTTCATCTGCCTTGTACTAACTGGAATTTTGCACTAACACACAGGCACCCTTCATCAGAGCAATACTTGATCTTCCAAGGAACAAACTTAAGATCAGACAAACTCAAAAGCCTAGAAGTGGCCAGGCAGGTAAAGTCAATGTGAACTGGGCTTGATGTGCGATTGCAGGGGAGGCCTAGTGGTTCACTGGGGACCACAGCTTGATGAAGGGAAAACCCCTACCCACCCTGCTGACTGTTACCTCCAGGAAAGAAGACCCAGTGTTGCCAGATCTTCTGAAGAAACTTCTGAAAAATCCTGATTTTTAAAGGCCGTCTGGATTTTCATTTTAGAATTCTTTGGGAGTCAAAGAAAATGTACAGGGTGTCCCCCCAAAAATGTATACACACTTTAATAACTGACAGCTCAATTCTGAAAATGAAATATATTTTAATAAACACTGTTCAAAGTATGTGTATACATTTTGGGGGGACACTCTATATTTGCAGGCCAGATGTGGCCATGGGTTGTCAGTTCGTGACCTTCGCATTAGATGTTCTACAGTCACCTTGAAATGTCATAGAAAAGCTAAAAGATGACTATTAAATTCACTGTATTTGTAGTTTCGAATCGGAAATTTTATCATTCACATAGAGAGTAACTGTCTATTAAGGCCGAAAAAGACCTCACTCTCTCATTTATAAATCCTCACTCTCTCCACTTTTGGACCCGTTTTCAATCTTACAGTTCTCTACCAGGACACCCTGTAGATGCTGGCCTGCCCACATACTTATTTAAGTGTTAAGAGTTACTGAAAACTTGATTTAAATGCTAGCTTCTGCATAAAGCCTCCATGACCCTCCTTGAAGTCCCCCACGTATAAGTGACAATGAAAATTGTCCAGTGTATGAGATCTGCTTTGATTTCTCTCACATCTCATCAGCCCTTTCCCAGCACCCCCCAGATGGCATAACACCGTAACACTACAAGGACTGACCCCCTGGAAAGTGAAAGGCCTGGATCAACAGGTCAAGTTTGAAGGTGAAGGGCACTCACCGCCAAACACATCTCCATTCTGGTAGCTCTTCCCTTTCTGGGCTTCCTCTTCATTTTGAACAGTAGCAACATGCTTGGCGGAGGCACAGCCCATAGTCTCATTCGCTCAGCTTCAGCCGGGCTGAACTGCAAATCATCTCTACAGACACGGGGACATTTTTCTTCTCTTTAAACGCGAAGAAAATCGACCTTCCTGCTGAGTCGGTCAAGATGTGCGCACCTGCAAGAAGCAAAAGCTAGATCAGAACGCGTGAGACGAAACCCACGTCTGGGTGTCTTGTCATGTTGTGCGACCAGCAATGCACTAGAACCCCCTGCACGGCCTCCCTGTGCTGGGGGTGCGACTGGGCCCTGCAGAACACAGGGCAGCACGGACCGTCCCTCCCAGCCCCGCTCAGCAAGCAAGAGCAGAAGGCATGGCCCCTGCACCACACGTGGCTGAACTTCTTGAGGAGATGCAACAATATATACTTATTTAGTTATTCGACCAAATATCTGAGCACTGCTACTTGGCACACATATGCATGCATGTTTGCTAATGTTCTGGAATATCAGAAACCTTCAGAGGAAGGAAACACGCTCATGAGATGCACATCATTTGGGAGGCTGGAAAAAGTCCTCCACCTTCCCTATCCTGTTCTGCAGGCCTGACCTTCTCAGCTCCTCAGCTTTTGCCAGGAGGAGGCGGCCTTCCTCCTCAGGCTGAACCATGGGCTAGTTAACACATCTGGTGGGTTAATTCAGTATTTTATTTTACCTGAGGTGACACTGTCCTGGAGAATGAAGGAAGGAGAAGAGGGCAAGGACTTCAACTCATTTTCTGCTTAGTTAGCTGAATCTTTTAAGAACTGAGCAAATGTAGGAATGTGAAGAAAACAAGGCAGTTGTCTATCTCTTTCAGAGCCTTGTGCCTTAAGTTGATCTCTGATACAGGCTGAAAGAGTATTTATGGATAAATCACAAAGGAGATAATCCCCTAGTTAAGTGAATTTACCTTCCCCTGCCCTGTCCAAGGTCATGACACAAATTCTCAGGGTTTGCTCTGCCCAGCTTGCTCATTTTTATTTATTTTGTTCTTTCATTATCCTTACCCAGCCATTGCATTATTGTAGATGACTTATTCCAATCTTACAGATGTTTCCTTTGGACCATCTATCCATTCCTTCGTCTGCATCCATCCCATCGTGCTACAGGCCCTCACCTCCTCACATTCACGGCAGAGGAAAGAAGCACCAAATCACTGCTCTTAATTTTCGTTAGCACCCTCCTCTCATGACCCTCCTCTCCCCTTCACAAAGAATTGATGCCTCTCAGTCTCAAGAACAGAGCTACCAAAACGCAGCTGCAGGCTTTCTCTTCCAACAAGACTGCTGCCCCTGAGCTCTTCCTAGAGCATGAGTGACATGTATCCATAGATGTCATGAAATCCAGTCATTTCTACCATAAAATCTCAGCAAAGGGAGTTTTTCAAATTAGCATAACATTACAAGTTCATTCTAAATAAGTCTAATAAATGAACTTAGATACAAAGGTAATGATCTTAAATTGAGCCAAGCAAATGCAAATTTCAGTATTGACTCTATGGCTACAACACTAGCCAAGTCTTTACATAGTTTTCAGACTATGTCCCATCACTGGTTATATGAAGTCATTCACAGGAAGTATAAGGCTAGTTGGTGAAGTTTTACAAACAAGGAAGATTTTTTTCCCCTCTAGATAGTCAGTGCTTATCACTTTTCTACATTATTAGGAACCGTGTGTTAATATATTTTCATGGTTTTAAAGCTATGTGGAACACACATACATACACACACACCCCGATTCTTATGATATTTAGCAGTAATGCCATTAAGGAAACAGTACTTTGATATCATGGTGTATTCATACTGGCCTGTAAAGCTTAGGGACTTGATGGGGTAGAGTGCTCACATTTACTCTAAAAAATCCACACAATACAGTGTAGTAAACGCCATGATGGAAGTTTCACAAGAATCGATGACAATGCATAATTCAAAAAAGGTAAATTAAATTATGACTGGGCAAAGGCAGGATTAAACAAGGAAGTGGTATCTTGTAGGGTCTTAAAAGTTTGGTAGAAATTTGTCAGGCTGAGAGGATGTCTGGGCTAAGATACTAACTAGACTGTGGAAGAGCACAGCGTGTGTGTGTTGTGTGTGTGTGTGTGTGTGTGTGTGTGTGTGTGTGTTTTCATAGGGGTCAAGGTGGGGAGGGGCGGGAAAGAAGACTGCACAGCTGATGCTTTGTGGAGGGCCTGGAGGAGGCCTTGCTAACTTTATCCGATTTAAAGAGAAACTATAAAATGTCATAAGACAGAGAAAGCCTTTCTCATTCCAAATTTTTGTATAATAAAACATGGGATCTCTTTATTTATTTTTAAATTTATTGGGGTGACATTGGTTAATAAAATTATGTTTCAAGTGTACAATTCTACGATACATCATTTGTATGTTGTACTGTGTGCCCGCCACCCGAAGTCAAATCTCCTTCCGTCACCATACACTTTCTGATCCAAATCTGAGCATATTTTGAGAGATATTAAATTAGTAGTGTCAACATCCATTCTGTCAATTGGTCATGGTTGGTGAAGAAACATCACTGAAATAGGAGTCAGAAGAATGACAGAAGACGGACTCAGTTCTAAGGCAGGAGAGGGGGACACTCTTTGAATCGGGCGCTGCTGAGGGTTGTTGTGATTGCTGCTGACAGGTCTGCACCCCCCGCCAGCACTTCTGGGGGCAGCATCCCCCTTCCTCTGCACCTCCCGCATCACCAGGTAAGATCACCAGTGTGGGCTCCCAGAATGAATCCCTTCCTTTTTAAAAGGAATGTGGGAAAACCACTTCACACTTAAGTAACCCAAAGTGAGAGGAGAAACCTCACTTGCCTCCCTGTTTGTTGCCACCTCTTCAGAATAAACAAAGTGATTATAGGAAAGAGAGTGGGAAACTCTAACAAAATTCCCAAAGGGCACGAGAAACCCCATGACAACTTAGTCGTCTTCTCTGGGATTCTCTTTCCTCTTCCTCTCTCCTGTTTCATGGGACAGCCTCATATGCTATCCAAGAAGTAAAAGTAAGAATCTAAGATGTGAATTACCCTTTGCTACCTACACCTGAGAAGCACCATAGAGCGTTTTGAAGTTGTGTTTGTATCAAAAAAATCTTACTTGAATTTAAAAAGTTGAAATCACATGAAAATCAAACACATTGCAGCAGGCTAACAAACATAAAACACATAAGAATTTTAAAAGGGATTCTCTGTTATTCAGGCATGGAGGTGAGGGGCATGTTAACAAGCAAATTAGATGTGATTTATAGTCAATTCAAGAGATGACTCAGGAAGTTTCCATTCCGTTATATTTTAAAAAACACACACTATTGCTCAACTTGAATACTCTCCAAATCATAAATAGGTATAGACTTTGTTTTTGAAACATACATACTATATACTTTACAGTAGTAATTTAAAGAGTGATGTTTCTAAATCTTACAGTGTCATCAAAAATATATGTTAATATCTTGCCCATTCTGAAGGTGATATAGTCATTTGAGAGGCATCAGGTGTCCCATTCATAAAGCTGAGCATGGATCACTGGGGAAAGTGTTTTACTACGTCATTTGCATTCTGCACATAAGCAACTGTCCAATCGTTCATTCATTTAATCAACAAGTATCTACTGAAAACTGACAGACGTGTGTTTGGTAGGTATTGGGGATATAACAGTAAACAAGCCAAGACAGGGTTTTCTTCCCTGTCCCCATAGAATCTGAACATTCAGAGAAAGGAGATCGTTAGAAAGACCAGTTTCACAGCAATGTGGTACACCTCCTACAGATTAAATGTAGGGTGACAGGGAGTTCACCCCACAGCATCCGATACAGCCTTGTGAGAAGGAATGCAAAGGAGGTTGGGTTCGAGATTTGACCACAGCTAAAAAAAAAATCACCAGAACACCCCTGACGTGCATCTTTTAGAGCCCGATGTATGTCAAGGTTTCATTTCTACTGAAAATTCTCTTACTTGACCTCAGTCCAACCGAGACCTCAACTTGAACAGATCTTCAGAAATGTACCCCTAATGACTGCTACAGCAACCTGCTTGAAACCATTTCCCTTGGTTTGTACTGTCCTTCACATAAACCCTAGCATTATTTTTTAGCTCCCATTTTTCCTATTAGCTTTGCTCAGCCTTTCTCTCCCAACCCCCACAGCCTCTATTCATTTACCTCCTCGAAACCACACCACTCAGAGGGGTAAGTCTGATGGTACCAACGAGCGTGCAGAGACCACAAGGATGAGCGGATCTGAGAGTCTTGTTTTCACACATTGTTATTAACAACAGGCTATTTCTGAACTGACAGATCACAGCATGAGAATTAAACGGAAAGATGTCTTTGATGTCTGATGGAAGCTTCAAATACCAAGCCTCGCTAAAGCTAAATAATCTACATGATAGGATCCTCAGCCCCTCTAAAACCAGGGGGTCTAGTGACTTACCCATGGCTTTGAGTAGAAGTGTTCCTAAATGGTGGAAAGGCCACATAACCTGTTCCACGGAATGAGAAGCTGTAACCTTTATCCACAGTGCTACGAGCTCATTTAATTTAGTGCCATCTTTATAGGATATTTTTCCTACTTTTGATAAAATACATTAGCAAATTTATAAATCCAATTCAACATTTTTAAAAGGACTGAAAAATGTATAACCCTTCCTGCCCTTACACTATGCCTCGAGCCTCTTTAGGTAATACTTTAGGCGTCATTAGGGGAGCTATTGTTCCAGTACATGGCACATTATAACATGAGAAAGTTCTTTTCTGTACACAAGTAAGTCCATTACTTTGCTCTGAATACCTGGTACACGCACAAGATACGCTTGCCCTTTTATAAGGAAAGATTATGATAGTTTCATCAATGCTAACAATTTCTCTCTTTTTTTTTTCAGCTTTATTGAGGTATAATAGACGAAACTGCAATATATTCTAGGTCATGATTTGATATATGCATTCACTGTGAAAGGATTCCCGCTATCGGGTTAAGTGTTAACACATCCATCACCTCACACATTTACACATATTTACCTTTTTAGGGGGCTGAGAACACAAGTTCTACTCTTAGCAAATTTCAATTATACAATTCAGTATTATCATACAGTCACGTTATATTTATCTACATGAGATCTTCAGGCCTTGTTCATCTCATAACTCAG